AAAAAAAAAAAAAACTCACATCAGAAAAAAATCCACCATTCCCCATTGAGGTCACTAAAAGGCACAAGGTTTGCCAAGGTGGCTAATTTCGAAGGGTTGTTGCTTTCGAACAATTAATACTCTCCAAATCAAACGTTAAATTTTATTGCCACCGTCCGGACGGGGGTTATCGCTGCTTCTAGGGGTGGTGGATAATCACGTTCAGAACTCTCGCATACCCGTGCAATATTTCCCAGAGATGTGGGAAGTGACTGCTTAGTTAAAACAAACATTTGGATCCATGATCAGAAATAGGCACCACTTCTTATCGCACAAAATACTCACGGGCAAACAGTTGAATTTCAAAAAGCAACACTCTATACTACAGGTCACATACTTATTAATTTATAAAGTTCGTCGTTTCAGTTTATTTACAACTGCGTTACATTGAAAATAAACCCTAAATTGGCCTGTTAAAGTCTAAATCTTAATTAAGTGTTTCTGCATAAAAGACCAATCTGAAACGATCTATACTAGTGAATTTTCATATCTTTAAAAAAATCTCTCCCAGTTTTTAAATTTAAAATCTTTATTCCAGTAAATAGAAAACACATGTGTCGCTATTCGTCACCACTGTGACCTTGATGAAGTTTCCACACCATTCCAGGAAGTTAAACCTGACACACTGACAGGAAAAAATGGTTTGTGTACTGAAACCGTTGTATAACGACCATATTGCTGTATAAGAAATTATAAGGAGATAAAAAATTGATACTGAAAACTTTCACGCCACTCTTACGTTAAATTAAGCTCTTGAGTATCACCACATTTTGAAAACACATCAACGTGAATTTGATCGAATGATACTTGTTTTCATAAAGATAGCTAAAAACTAGTTCAAAACAATTACATTTATCCGTATTTCACTCCGACAAACCCAACTAAAGCTGTATTGACACGAGGCAACATGATTAAAATGACCTACAATTGAACTTTGAACTGGTTTGGGTCTAAATTGAGGTTTAAACGGGGACTCTGTCATTACGACTCGGACAGGCCGCAGATTATCTACTTGACGAAGCAAGTAGCAAGTGTGTTACGGATTTGATACAACTTTAGATTACCGAGTTTTCTCAATAATTAGCCAACAAGGAAACAATCGTCCAATAGTTTGTTTACAGTGACGTTCTTTTAGGTAAGTGTTTACCGCGCACGCTCACATGTACGAAGTACTGCGGCTGCGTACGTCGTCTAGAACACGATTTTTTCAATAGGCAACTATCGTCGAACAGTTCAACTGTTTGTTTACAGTGACTAAATTCAGGTAAGTGTTTACCACGCACGCTCACATGCACGAAGTACTGCGGCTGCGTACTGCTGTCGACTCTCTTCAGTTCTCTCCACTTCAGAACGTCCAAAAGCAAGTCTTTCCATATCGATCAGCTTCTTTACTGTCTCTTCATTTGGTTGCTCGCCATCAATAACGCCCTTCACCGTCTCTTTAACAGCAAACGTCAATTTTCCCGCCAAAGCGTTTATGATTGGCTCGTTAATTCCATGCAGCAGGTGCAGCTCGCGTTTTAGTTCTTGAATGGCTTTGCCAGCCATTTCCTTTGTTTGTTTTTCTTTAGCCTCGACGGTGTGGACGTCCTTAATGCAAAATACAAATATACATTAATGGCTTAATTAATAGAGCACAAAGTTAAGCTTCTAGGAGAGATGCTTCTGGTCAATATTGAAAAACTACAGCTATAGCTACAAGGAGAAACTGTGAGGGATTGAAGTCTAGAAAAGATCATAAAAAGCCGATGTCTCTTGATGATTACTTTACTCAGTTGGAATGGTTGCCTTTGGTTCTTTTCTGATCTCGTACACGGACTGCAGTATTGCTGACATTAGTCGTGGGTCAAAACAAAGTATAAAATAAGATAAACACTTTCGCCCGATACGTTCGAAGGCAAATAACCGTATTCTGCACTGTTACGATATCTAGTTTATCTAGTATGTTAATCAAGAACAACGGGTAGGCATTGGAGAAATGATGAAAATACGAAGGCTACAATAAATAAATTATCAACGTCTTCTTTACCTTGAAATCATCAAACTGAAAACTAGACACGTTGTCTGCCGTTAGAGTAAGGAATTCTCTTAATCCATGCAAAGCTGGCCACAGAGCGGCACTTATCGGCAGGTAATCGAAGTAATCCTCCTTTCGGGGCACAATACCGTGATGCAATTCCCACTTCCAGGGCCAAGGATGGCTGGTTGCTATAGCAATAATAAAGCAAAAGGGTTTTACATTAATCACCAGTTGTACACTGCAGTACAAAATTCGGTTAGAGATCGTTGAATTCGTTTTTGAGTTATTATGCAATCGACCCAAGCGTCTTAAAGGAGGAGAATTGTTACAAGGAAACGTTTGCGAGAGGAGGAACATCCAACTCTGTTTGGAAGCTACGAACAGCGCGCTCCTTTATTCGGTGTATTTTAATCAGTCAAGCTCAAAATTGACTATTAATTGCCTTTAACAAGGTAGAATTCATTGACAAGATATCTTTTTGGTTTTTGGACCGCGTCAACGCCATAACAGGAGAGCTTGGCCGAGCTATGGCTTGTACAAACACCCATGGTAAGACCAAAGTACTGAAGCGTACCATGAAAAAACGATTCCTAAATTTGAGTCAAAATTACGCCACATCAGGTCAGTGACTTGATACCGCTGGAAATCAGGGCAGTAGACCGGACTTCTGATTGGCTAATTGCTAATTTGGGTACGGTAAAAAGGCAAACTGACGATGTAGAGATTGAATCGAATGTGCATTGGCTCCCAACAGCGAAGAAAGGCAGGGGCAGTGTGAGTAGATGTATAAACGTCCTGCAAATGGAGATGGTACTGATCTCTGCATGGCTCTCTTTAGGCATGTCGTTACACTTCTGCACTGACAGTATGACTGCCCGACCTATACCCCTTGCTTTCCCAGATCATATGAAAATCATAATAATATTTGTCAGTATCACCCACCAGGCTGTACGAATGCTTTTATCCAGTCGAACCCTGGACTTTCATTGGACAAGACAATACTGGGTACCAGTCTCTCTTCCAGCAGCTTCTTGTAAAATGCAGCCCACAGCTCGTCCGTGACGTAATCATGGCCACTGGAGTGCAGTCCATACACGTACATACCAGCTTCAAAAAGTTTGACTTCAACATTTTCGATTTCCTCTCTGCGTCCTGGCTTCTCCTCCTTGAAAACAGTCAAGATCTTGTTGTCGACAGACAATGCACAAAGGACAGGTTTCTCGGAATGAAAACCATTTGGAACGTAACACCCTTTAAATATAAACAATACACAACATACTTAGACTGTATTACATCGGGGAACGTACGTGACTTGGGCTGCTGCCAAGAGAGCAGTCCTAAACAGGCAGGGGCAGTGTGGAAAGCCATGGTGTCAGACTTATGTTCCGCAAAGATCTAAGAAGTGTAAAGAAGAGAGAAGAAGCAGACGTTGGGGAACATGCAATACGCTTGAAAGCTAACTTGAAACCTTCGAGTTAGTAAGTTCCATAATTTTATTTCTAAATATTTTTTAATGAGTAACATGCATAGCCAAAAGGGGTTTCAAGAAAATAAAATTCAGTCCCCTGTGGAAAAGCATTCAGCGTACACAGCTGCACTTTGCTGAACATGGGTACATAATAACGCAATATTTGAAACGTTTTTGTACGTATTTTCTACCAATATTACTCTTCATGAGTACCTGAAACATTGCTGATGTCAATTATCCTGCGGTAGATGATGTGTACCCTCTGAACCACTGTTATGTGAAACGATGAATGTTTACATTGTAACCTTCTAAAAATCATATTTTTCGAAAACAGAAGTGCGACTCACCTGGAATTCGCTCAGAACACAACTTCACTTGTTCAAGAAATCGGTTGTCCCAGACAGCAACAAATTTCTTCATCTCGTCACATGTCACTGAACTCTGTATACATAAAAGCAAGGCCGAAAAAGAGATAGATTTCTTAATTTATCAAACGTGTTAAAGACGTTTTTTTTTCAGATTTAAACTATTCAAGAACCACATTAGTTTGGAACTGTATGAAAAAGTACGTAGAAGCGAACTAATAATTAACCCACAAAGTAGACGAAATCCAAAATCAAAATACTGTCAAAATAATTACAGTTGACACAACTAAACTGTTGAAGGCAACTGTTGAACTGCAAGAAGCAAACACAAATGGAGAACAGACTACGCAAGTACATGTAAACAATTAAGTGAATCTCACTCACCCTGTTGCTTTTGTAGAGTTTTTCAATCCTTGCTCGATGACGCTGTTCCTGACGCATCAACTGCTTCATACTTCTGTCTAGGTCTTCTGAGTTAATTCGCTTAACAATTTCCTTGACAACTTCCTTTACGGTAGCAGCCTGTTCCTCCATCTCCTCCAAAGAAGCTTGAACACCAAATAAATCTTTCGTACACACTTCTTCCTCGCCAACTTTAATCGAAGGGATACCAAGCCTGAATAGGATATCCTTCAACTGCTGCCAAAGACGTCTCAGGACTTCAGTCAGTTTTTTCTTGAATAGTCTACTGCTTGGATTCTCGCGCTTGCTGAGGTAGCAAGGAAGCTCCACCACATGTGACGACCACAGGTCAGGAATACCTTCGCGCCTTTGGTTGTATCCTGCTGCTTGGAGCTGCGCCACGAGAGACTGATTTTCTTCAAGGGATAAAACGCGAGACTGAATAATGCCGTGCAATTCTTCTAGAAGATCGGGACCCGCATTGGAGGGGTGAAGAGAAAACAGTAGCTGAACAATCGCAAGAGTGTGAGAGGCAAGGGTTGGCTTAGTGACGATCCCTGATAACCAACGCCTCAACAATACCAGCATTGGCTCATAGACGTGTGAATTCGACAGCACAGATGGAAGGTTTTCGTGCAGGTAAGACGACTGTCTTGCTACAGATACTGCCACTCTCACTGCTTGTGCGTCTCCTCGGTGTGCCAATCCGCAATCTTGAATACTAGCTTGACCATCCACGCTCTTACGTCGCTTACCGAAGATCTCTGTGAATAGAGCCTTAAGCTTCTGACCGTGGATTTTGTACAGGTCGTTCCGTTTTCGGTTATTTTTATGACTATCGCAAAGCTCAGCACAAGCATCGACAACTATGTCTCTGATAACAGCATCTTTGTGGTTTTCCTCGGGTTTTCGTACTTTCAGGATGTTGATGAACTCACCAAGCAATCTTGCTAACCGGATTCGTTCTTTGATCAGACTTTCTTTGATTCCTTTCCCTTGTGTCACTTGAAAACCATCGTCAGGAAAAATGACTCTTTTAATAGTCTGTGACACAGATGTAACAAGCCCCAAGGAGTGTGAATTGAGGTCAACAATGGCATCAACATCGCGCGATGTAAGGTCTTCCAGCGGCGTCATTAGGAAAGCTGCACACCAGGAGTCAATCGCCCGAACGGGAAAGCCGTCTGCTATCGTCGTCTCTCGCCATTTGGGCAGACGGTTGAGACCATACGCATCGTCTGGGTCGTACAGTAAAATCAGTTCCTTCAACCTGACTAAAAGATCTTCAGACGAGTTCATGCAAATGCGACCAAATGCGTTTAGCAATTGCCAAGCAAATTCATTTTGTGCGGGGTTAAACGAAGACATCTCGTCTTGTTTATAAAAGGATTGGATGTTTTCTATTAGTTCCAGTGACTGCTGTTCGCATGACCAGGGAAAGACGATCTCTCCGACTGTGACTCCAGCTTGGACATTGACTTGGTAGAGGGCAAGAATTCGTGCTGTGACCTCAAACGGTAGTCTGCTCTCTAGGAGACTACGCATGTGTGTTAACTGTGGTTTAAGATGGCGAAAGCATGGAACTGAAAAAGCAACGTTCCCGAATGGAGTTCTGTGTATTATCTGTTTACTTAATCGCATTTTCTCCAGGGTTGTGCTCACTTCAGATTGAAGTTTCAAGAGATCCTCCTTGTCAGCCTTGTCTCCTTTCCACTTGCAAGCTTCCAAAATTACCTTTGAGCACTGGCAGGCGTGATGTGGATCTATTCTTGCCCAGTGGAATACTTGTTCTATTGACGAGGCTTCTGACAGAATTGACAGGAAAACATGAATGTAATCATCAAAAAGAGAATAAGCCGATGTACATTCTTCCTCACACCGAAAGAGTGGTTTGTACTTGCTTAAGACAAGGTCCCATAGCGCAAAGGCATTTTCAGAGGGTTCTTCGTCTTGTGCAAGTACACCCTTTAAGAACTGAATCACTTCTTTTGCCACTAAAACTGGTGTTAAAATGACGCTTTGTGGCACCATGGTTGGAGAGCCATTTTCTGTAGGTGCCGAAACACTACATGTTGACCCAATCTCTCTGACAGGTACATGTGCAGTTGATACTTCTGATGCCGTATCATTGTCTTGAGAGGCAAACGTGAAAACCCCATCTTCACTGATTTGAACGTCAGAAAACGTAAAACACCTAAGATGGTGCACGGATGACGCCCTTTGTAAGGAAACACAGCTCAGGTCAAATACAAGAGCAGCATCCACAGTTGAAAGGGAGGAATGGGAAACCAGCCACTCCAGCTCGCAGCAAGCAATTCGTCGTGTAATCCTATCTTCACGGCGTTCGAAACACTGAGGTCTCCTCATTGCCCAATCTTCCAGCTTGCTGGATTTCTTGAAGATGTCTTGCACACGACAAATCATTTCACATCTCTTTTCTGGGGTGCCGACACTGTTGTACGATTTCCAGAGAAGTCCAGGGACTTCCAAAAACGAAAGAACGCGCCACTTTGGTGAAAGTTCCCACTTCATGGCAAGTTCAAGTTCCGTGAGAAATTGCTGCCTTTCCTGTTTGTTCACCGAATTTTGTAATAGATAAGCGAAGTTGAGCATCGTGATAGGAATCATTCCTGGGCAAATTCCGCGGAGGAATTGCACCAGTTCATTCAAAAGTTCTAGTACGTCTTTCACAGACATGGATTCCTGGATGGCTTCATCTAAAAAAGGCACCAAATGGTCAAAGAATGCTTGATCTAGGTCCTTTAGTGAGCCAATGAAAAGAAATATATCCACGATGTTATCTGTTGGAAATGAGTTTGCAGTCTTTCTGAAGAGAACGGAAGATAGAGAATCGTTTAAGCTGAATGGGATTCTGCGCGACAGCTGAAAGAATTCTGTGNGCCCTTCACCGTCTCTTTAACAGCAAACGTCAATTTTCCCGCCAAAGCGTTTATGATTGGCTCGTTAATTCCATGCAGCAGGTGCAGCTCGCGTTTTAGTTCTTGAATGGCTTTGCCAGCCATTTCCTTTGTTTGTTTTTCTTTAGCCTCGACGGTGTGGACGTCCTTAATGCAAAATACAAATATACATTAATGGCTTAATTAATAGAGCACAAAGTTAAGCTTCTAGGAGAGATACTTCTGGTCAATATTGAAAAACTACAGCTATAGCCTCAAGGAAAAACTGTGAGGGATTGAAGTCTAGAAAAGATCATAAAAAGCCGATGTCTCTTGATGATTACTTTACTCGGTTGGAATGGTTGCCTTTGGTTCTTTTCTGATCTCGTACACAGACTGCAGTATCGCTGACATTAGTCGTGGGTCAAAACAAAGTATAAAATAAGGTAAACACTTTCGCCCGATACGTTCGAAGGCAAATAACCGTATTCTACACTGTTACGATATCTAGTTTATCTAGTATGCTAATCAAGAATAACGGGTAGACATTGCAGAAATGATGAAAATACGAAGGCTACAATAAATAAATTATCAACGTCTTCTTTACCTTGAAATCATGAAACTGAAAACTAGACACGTTCTCTGCCGTTAGAGTAAGGAATTCTCTTAATCCATCCAAAGCTGGCCACAGAGCGGCACTTATCGGCAGGTAGTCGAAGTAATCCTCCTCTCGGGGGACAATACCGTGATGCAACTCCCACTTCCAGGGACAAGGATGGCTGGTTGCTATAGCAATAATAAAGCAAAAGGGTTTTACATTAATCACCAGTTGTACACTGCAGTACAAAATTCGGTTAGAGATCGTTGAATTCGTTTTTGAGTTATTATGCAATCGACCCAAGCGTCTTAAAGGAGGAGAATTGTTACAAGGAAACGTTTGCGAGAGGAGGAACATCCAACTCTGTTTGGAAGCTACGAACAGCGCGCTCCTTTATTCGGTGTATTTTAATCAGTCAAGCTCAAAATTGACTATTAATTGCNAATGTTCCCTTGTTCCCTTCGATATTTTGCCAATGTTCCCTTGTTCCCCAAAACCCCTGGGAGACCCTCAATGTGCATTGGCTCCCAACAACGAAGAAAGGCAGGGGCAGTGTGAGGAGATGTATAAATATCCTGCAGATGGAGATGGTACTAATCTCTACATGGCTCTCTTTAGGCATGTCCTTACACTTCTGCACTCACAGCATGACTGCCCGACCTATACCCCTCGCTTCCTCAGATCATATGAATATCATAATAATATTCGTCAGTATCACCCACCAGGCTGTACGAATGCTTTTATCCAGTCGAACCCTGGACTCTCATTGGACAAGACAATACTGGGCACCAGCCTCTCTTCCAGCAGCTTCTTGTAAAATGCAGCCCACAGCTCGTCAGTGACGTAATCATGGCCACTGGAGTGCAGTCCATACACGTACATACCAGCTTCAAACAGTTTGACTTCAACATTTTCGATTTCCTCTCTGCGTCCTGCCTTCTCCTCCTTGAAAACAGTCAACATCTTGTTGTCGACAGACAATGCACAAAGTACAGGTTTCTCGGAATGAAAACCGTTTGGAGCGTAACATCCTTTAAACATAAACAATACACAGCATAATTACACTGTACTACATCGGGGAACGTATGTGATTTGGGCTGCTGCCAAGAAAAGCAGTCCCTGAACAGGATTAGGTAGAACGCCATGGTGTCGGACTTATGTTCCGCAAAGAACTAAGAAGTGTAAAGAAGAGAGAAGAAGTAGACGTTGGGGAACATGCAATACGCTTGAAAGCTAACTTGAAACCTTCGAGTAAGTAAGTTCCATAATTTTATTTCTAAATATTCTTTAATGATTAACATGCATAGCCAAAGGGGGTTTCAAGAAAATAAAATTCAGTCCCCTGTGGAAAAGCATTCAGCGTACACAGCTGCACTTTGCTGAAC